CATAAAGTGCAATTCATATTAAGGAAACTGCAAACAATAACTAATTATGATAAGTTGCTATGTAAATCACTCTGTGACAGTACGAGCAATCAATTTCAAACACAAATAGACCAAGCCCCTCGTTCGAGAACAGGATAAGCAACTAACAACTGTGTCAATAAATAGACTGGCAAGATTGCCAAGGATGGATGGAGGCAGGATGGATATCATTTCCAAGCAAGTTTTCATAGCAGATTTCCTCTTGGTTTCTTACTTTCTTTCTTTTATACATTTAAGGTCCAGTTCTTGATATGACAAGTTAACTAACTATGGCCTATCTTTAAGACTGTATAAGCATTGGGAACAATTTAATAATTTAGAGATTTTTTAATTGGGCTTACAATTACTTGGCTACATATTTGTGCAAATAGATAGGAATGGGACCTTCAACGTGATAAGTGTTGGTCAAGTGGATTGTGGTAGATGTGCCAGGTTGCCTAATTTAACTAGGTATTACCACTCCCTCTTCAAAGGTCTCTTCTGCAACTCAGAAGAAAACTTGAAAACTATATTTCCCAGAATTCCCTTGGCACATGGTCCTAGGTTAGAGTGGGTCAAAGAGATATACTAGAGTAAGATTTGGAAATCCAGAGAGAAGGAAGGGCAGGGCAATATATAGATAGTTATAATGTTTGAAGCAGTATCCATGAGAATCACCCCCATTTTTGTGTATATTAGAAATTCAGTATGATATTTCTGCGGGTTCCTGAGATCCCCAGAAACTTTAACAAGTTCTTAAGAAACATCTGAGTCTGAGACTCTAGGGTGCTGGTTTTCCTGACTCAGTCCTTTCCTGATTGTGTAAGACTCCCATTCCTTACAGTAAAACCCTTCATAATTTGAATATATAGTGTGTCTTCTATTTTCCCTGACTCCATTCAGACTGATACCATAGTATTTTCAACTCTGATTTCTCAAACTTTCTCTGTGCCAGAACTGATAGATGTGTAATTTAAAAGAAGGGGAGGGGAGGGGCAATTATTTTGACAGAAATAAGCAATGCCCACTTCTTTGCAGCGTTAGCATAGGATATGGAAATCCACCAGCAGTGGACATTCCCAGGCTGCGCCCTCCCTGTACTTTCTCTCCTCTTACCTCCAGCACAATGCCACAGTCAGTCCTGCATTCACTTCTTATGTCCTATGTGAAGCACAAATGTCAAGAGTGGCCTGGAAATCAAGGACAAGGAGTTTCAATTTTTTCCCTTGCCTCTGTTACTGAATGACTCAGTCTCCTCTAGAAATTCTTGGGTCTTCCTCTGTTAAATGGGAATAATAATATTAAGGGTTGTCTTAAGGATGGTATGGTCTGTGTTCCAAATAGAAATGTCTTCCCCAAAAGACACAACAGTCTATATAAATGAAAATTCTACTTTTAAAATCCACTAGATAGAGAGTGGAAACATGTCCCTTGCACATGGCATATTTAGAGACATTTCTCCAACAAACGTTTCAACATTTTTCATAACATGGATACCCACATATAGTACATGGACTGCCAGTTGGTAGCAGCTGAGATCACTGACACAGCCCCATGTCCCTGCACTCTGAAGACATGCTCAGGCTAGAGCAGAATTTTCACAGAGACTCAGATGGACCCTTCCAAAACCTTATCTATAGCACAACCTGCATCATATTGAGTGTTCAGGACCTTCTTTGAGAGCTTTTGTTCTAGTAAAACAGTTCTGTTAGTTGCTTCCATTTGTACTACTCCCTTTCTACTATCATAATACCAGAGTTTAAAAACTATGACATTAAGATAATTATCTACTCAAAAGCTATGCAATGTTGCTAAATGCTGTCTGGCATTGATTCAATAAAATGGGTGCTTCTGTCCACAAAATCTGGGTTTCTGAGAGCAGCAGAGCTGTGGTCTGAGGTCCACAAAGCTGGCTATTCCCTTTCATATAGACAGGTCCTCCCCCAAGGAATGATGGGTCCCTTTTTCTCAGATATAGTCAAGCTACCTTACAGAGGCATCTGAGTTACTGACTTTCTCCCAGGTGTCCATCACTTATCATTTACTGAACAAATATTTCCTGAACTCCTATTCAGTAGGACGCACTGCATATATTGTGATGAGCAAACAGACACAATCTCCTCCACTCTTCCTAAGAGCTTAAAGCCTATCTAAGAAGACAGTCCCTACAAAAGTAAACCCAACCTAATACACATGTGCAGGGTGGGATCAGAGAATCCTCCTTGGAGCTGTGATATTTAAGCTGATACCTTAAGAATGAATAGGAGTCAGTAATATGAGAGGGAAGACAGGTTCAAATCTGTATGGCCCCTCAGGGAGCTTTCATTTATGAGAAGTTCAAGATGTACATTTACCTGACCTCTGTCAGACAAAGTAGAATAGAAACAACTGCACTAAGGAAGATATAGAAATGAACATTATCAGTACTTCAAGAGGAGAAAAATAAAAATAGATAAGATCAGAAAAAAGTTTCATCCAGGAAGCAGGAAGTACTGCACATCCCTGCTCTCCCTATGATGTGCAGATTCTCTTTAAGTTACAGATGGAAAAATAGAGTCCCCTATCTCCTGACCACTATCCTGGGCCCTAACTTTTCTTGCATTTGAATTTAGAGTCCTTAGGATATGAATCTGAGGCCCATTATACTCGACATTGGAAGTTACATAAAAGGACAAGTAAAGGGGAAATGACATGTATCAAAAAATAGCAATTTTCACATGAACTACTGCCCGATAGTTTGTGTACTTGTTGGTGCGGAATGAAAAGAGATTGAGAACTAGAGGAATCAAAAATTATTTGCAAATAGAACTTAAGGTTTTATGGACCATATTTCAGATCCATAGAGGATTTCATCTGGGAGAGAAATGACATAACCTGCCTTCACAATGTGAAAGTGGTTATCTGGGTAAATGTTTGTAAGCTGTTCCCATTTGGGTATTAATAAATGACACTCAAATAGCTTGCCAATTCATATGATCAGAAATTTAGAATAATTTCTTTAACTTAAATATTTTTTTAAAAGGTGACACTAAGTGATTTCATTCTGGGTGCCAAAATATGTGGCTTTTCCCATTGGTCATTGTATGATTCCTGTCAAGCTGAAATATATCAGTCTGATCTTTCCCCTACATAGATCAATCCAATAATTCGGCCTTACTGAGCTTCTTTGGCTCTCTCTTACTGGTTTCCTCATGTCCAAAGGTCCTAAAGATTTGGCAATCATTTCATGATGCTTTCTTGCTTTTTCCACCATCTGAATAGTTAGCACCAACCAGGCACTATGTATAATAAATGTATAGAAATGTTCTTCAGTAAAATCAAGACACCCATTGTTGGCTTCTTCTAAATAACATTTTCCCATTAATGTTGGGCTCTGATGTCATCCAAGAACACCTATTTTCATTCTAACCACCTTAGGCATTTGTCCATATTTATTTTCTTATACCCCATCTCTTCAAGGTTCAAATTTATTACTTGACTGTTACAATGACAGAGGTTCTTTGTCTTAATCATGATTAATACTTACCTGATTGCATCCTCCTGTTGTAAAATCTCAATTTCATGGACATTATCAACTTTTACAAAAAGTCTGAGATTTCAGCTCCTATGCAGTGTATTCAACAGGCTATATACAGTAAAATCACCTTTGTCCAAAAAAGCAAATAAATAAACCCAGGACAATATGATGCTAAGGTCAATTTGTTATTCTTTCTAGATTAGGCATTATTATTATCCTAGGGGAATTTGAAAAATGTCTCTAAAGGGACTTGCTCAAAACCTTCATAAAGGCATTTAGTGAAGGAGACCAATTCATGCCTCTCAAAATATAACATGTTAGAATCAATTTATCCTACCTGACTTTCAGCAAAATTGATTTTTCACAAAATTGACATGCAATGAACTGTATCACAACTGAACCCTAATGGAACCAATGTGTACTTAAATGTAGGAAAGTTCTACTGTGCCCAGACATCAAAGATGCAACACAAGCCCAATCACAGACCACAGGAACCTGGCATGACCTCTGAACCATTTTCTACAGAAATGCACCATTTGCCCAGAGCCCACATGTTCTTAGAGGACCAGCTCACCCCTTTCTGGGCATCTCTACAGTCTTTTTCCCTGCCCACTGACACTGCAATGTAGCTGGGATGACAAAGCTGGACCATCCTCACTAAGTGACCGCTGCATGGAGAAAGGGAATTTGCTGCTTGGGGGAAACAGTTTTAAAGTATGCAATGCCCTCAATCTACTCCTGCTCTTACTTACCCTTAGAAGGTAGGTTCACAATTAGGAAATGTGGCTGTAGTCATGACTGGGATAAAGTGAGGTAAACAGGTTACACTACAGGGCCTCATCCTGTTCTAACCAGTTCCAACAAATGGGGTCACATAGTCCTTGGCCTAAGCAGCCAGCTTGGAATAAGACATTTTTAAATTATATTCCGTACCGACTCTAGAGATGGCAGTAGGAATTCAAGGCTTTGGAAAAACTGGCGAAGCCAAATTGTTTCCGGGATCAGAGAAAACTACAGACTGATTCTCTTCAATATTTCGAGGCAAATCGAAATTCCTTTTAGCTGTCATATACCGTTCATTTATTTTTAAGTTACAGATTTCAACCATTATATTCCTAAACAATGACACTTTTCCTAATATTAGTGAGCTTTCCAATTTTTCTTCATTCCTTTTGCTGAAGGTAATTATCTTAGTAATTTTTAAGTGCTATAAATACTTTAAAAAATAAAAATTCACCAAATTATATTTTACAATGGATTTATTTGCCTTCCCAGTGGACTACCACTAAATTCTGTTTAATATGAGTTCAAGTTGCTAGAGCTGACAGGTACGGTTTTCCCATCAAGGACTGAGAAGCACTGTGTTCTTGCTAAAGTACTGAGGCAGCAGTCACAGGCCCAGAGCTGTACACAGCCAGGCATCATTCCCTGTATCAGAGCAGAGCAAGAAAAGCTGTGTTCCTACCTCGGTGACTGGTGAGTTCCCTGGAAGCAGAAGGCAGGGGTGTGTAGTGGCACTCTGGAGAGGCAACATTGCTGTCACTGGAAACCTGTGTGATAAAAGCAAATATCAAGGTGAAACAACACCAAACACTAAATACCTTCGCTTAACAAACATGTCTTCTTAGGATCTGGGTTTGCAGAAAATAGTATTAACCGAGACTCTTCTTAGGAAGCAAGCGTTGTCTGCATTGAGGTAAGATGCTGGTGAGTGTGGGGTAGACTGCAAAGCTTTGAAGAGCCTACAGAAGGAAGGGCTCTGAGAGAAAGGGGCTATTTGTTCATTGTGCTGAACTGAGTGAAAAGGGAGGAAAGAGAGATTGAAGGCAGGAAATGGTGCAGACTTAGTTTTCTGTCATATGCCTTCTTCTAGTAATTCCCACAGATTAAATGCTCATTGTGAGTAGATTTCTATGGAAACCAGTGAAGAAGGGAAGAACTTGGCTGATTTACATGGGCCAAGTGACCTGGATGAAGACTTAAGACTACACAGTATGAGTGATCATGCGAAAGGATAGAAGCCATCACAGATGGTGCAATGGGGGTGCTGGCTGAATTTCACAATAGAAACACAAGGGAAATTGGAATATAATGGTTATCAACAAAACTTTGCTATTCCAAGGCCTATAAAAAGATGAGGTGAATATGTCTATAAAGATGCTTTTTATTGTATAAAAAATAGCTCTTTAACCATCAAACTCCATATGTGGTGTGACCCAAGCTGGTAACTCTCTCTTTGCCTTACTCTACTTTCAAGAAGGGTAAGGCAGGCAGGAAGGACCACAGCTATGAATTCAGTTGTCACTCAGAACCAATGACCAGTGTCACACTCAGAGTGTGGCTTCTGACAGCAAAAGAAAGCATCACCCTTGCAACTCTCATTGAGACTTCCGAATCAAATGCTACTTTTTTTTTTAATATCTAAAAAGAAGAACATCTGCTAGGATCAAAATTCTAAGCTTACAACCTTTCGAAGCTTCATGAAAAAGTAAATGTCATTAATGCTACATTTTTCCTTCTGGAAGAGGAAATACATTCTATGGAATATATTTGCCCTGCTAGGAGCAGGCCTTTTCTCCAAAGAGATTATCTACATTATAGGAATCAAAACTAAGTAGGAGATTAGGCCTACTTGCTAGAAAAACCCTTTAAACCCCCTTTCTGACCTTTGAGATGTTTGATTAAGCAGCTTTCAGTGTAGACTTGTATAAAGAGTTCTGAATGGTGCAAAATCAGAAGCTCTGTCCCTAAGGTGGAGACAGATTTCAAGTAGCATTACTTCTCTCCAGCTTCAAGGGAAATACATGGTGTTTAACCTTGATGCAAGGGTATGGGGTCCAGAAAGATAAAAAGTTCAGTCACCAAGAAAAATGCTTTAAAAAGTAGATAAGACTTGCTAGGTACTACATCATTAGACACTGAGGATGCTGCTATGATATAAAAGGGGTCAGAAATATGATTACAATTCAAATACTGGAGTCACCATGTGTTTTCCCATTTGCATTCAAGGTATCCTGTAACCCCTCTGTGATAAATGAGACACGAGGACAATGTTCTGAAAATGACCTCTATTCCAGTGCTTGAGGCAGGACATATGGCCTGGTTAAGGAGGCTGTCTTTCCACAGATCTACCACACTTCCTTTCTAAGAGGCCAGGGCATCTTTCTCTGCCAATGTTTCTGCTCCACCTCATCGCTAAAAAGCCTAAAATTCCAATCTGAGTCTTAGGTTGCTATATTGTGATGTTTCTTAGTACTTTTAATCTCAATTTGGGCTGTTGACAATTTAATGACAGCTTTTCCTAAAACTGCTGGAAGAAACTACCTTTCAGCAAGTATCTCTGACTGGGCAAAACATTAAGAGTTTTGTAACCAAGGATAAAATAACTATTTAGTTTTATTTCCAATTGTAGTCAAAGCAAAAATTGTGTGGCTTGAGTTCTGTCTTGCAGTCATCATTCTATGCCTAGCATTTAATTACTTTTCTGCTCAGTGTCCGTTTATAAACTCGAGCCATGGAAAAGAATCCAGGAAAGAACACTTTTGCCAATTCTGACTTTTGGTGGGACTTCCATGGCTGGATGTTTAAAAAAACTATCACCAATCAAGATTCTAAGTACCATGCCTTTGATTTGGCTTTTATTAGAATGGAGCCTAGGTAATATCCTCATAGTGATATTCACACTTGGTCTCTGAATGTTATAGAAGCATGATTCAGAAGAACACAATTATCACATAAAAGAAGTGGACAAAACTAGTTCTATGCTATCTATCTAAGAATAAAGAACTCTCCTTAAAACTGAAGCAATATAACCAAAGTATAATAATGATGAGATAATAGAAACAGAGGTGGGGCAATTTAAATAATATCATTTTCTTTTAACCTGGATTCAGAAGATATGCTTAAATTGAGAACAGAGAAATTTGAGTAAACCTGAGTCTTCATAACTACAAATACTAGTACTCTCCAATCTTTGAGTCCTTGCCCAATTTCCTACCTACTTATGGTAAGAATTATACTTTTGCATTTTACTTTTTAAATCACTCCTGGTAAAAGATATTTACAAAACCTACAATAAAATATTAGTATCCAGAATGCACATGCCCCTTATTAAATTACAATAGAAAACTGAACAAAGGAAATGACAAGTCATTACAAGAAGAGAAAACCTTAATGGTCAATGATAAAAGAGAAGATGGCCAAATTTACTAGGATTTAAGGGGATAAAAATTAAAACAACAACACAATCTTTCTTCACCCATATCAGTGCAAACTTTTAAGTCTCTCAAGTGCTACAGATAATGAAAGGAAACAGAAATTCCATCTTCTCATTCCTTGCCAGCAGGAATGTTTAGTGGTTCAAATACTTTGGAGAGTAATTTAGCAATATGCATAAAATTGAAAACTGGGACAGCAATTCCATCTAAAATATACACTATGAAAAATTTCACTCAGGTCTGTAAGGTGGAACATAAATAATGCAGCATTATTTATAACAGGACAAATTGGAAATAATTCAAGCATCTGTCAATGAGGAAAATGAATAAGTAAAATGTTATATATCTATATGCTGGAATAATATTTAGTATTTAAGAGCAATAAACCTGATTTATCCAACTCAATTTGAGGAGGAATGAAAATTTAATACAGAGTGAAAGGCAAGTTGCAAAATGATAAATGTAGTACAATATTATTTATGCAAATATATAGTTCTTTGATCTCATGAGTAACTGTAAACATTGAAAATTATAAAAGTTTTACATTAAATTCATGAAAATAATTGCCTCTGCCAGTGGTCAGAGTTATAGGATTAGAGCTAATGCAATGGGGGAACTTCTCTTTTGTATATAAGGTTTATTTATTTTTATTTAGAGATGACTTGAAACAAATATGTTAAAATATTAGAAAATTATCAAATTTTTAAAACTTGTCTATATTTTTAAATTTTCTCAAAAGTAAACACAAACATTGAAAAAGAACAAGACTTCTCTCTGATCCATACAATCTTATATTGATATGAACCCATAATTAAGAGGAAATTTTCTCCAACAATTTTCCAATACTTGCACAACATGGATTAGGGCCATGTCTGGTTAACTTTTTGTGATGAAATATCTATTTCTTCTAAAGCTATTGAGTGTGACAATAGAGTGGGAACGCTGATAAATAATAGTAAAGGTTTGGAATCCTCCTTCCAGGCTGGTCAGTCCTTCTGCCTCAGATTTGTCAAAGCACACTGAAGGTTTCTGTACTCCTCTCCTACTCACAGTTTGAGAGTTGCTAATGATTTTTTAAACTCACATCAATAATGCTAATAGTCACTAATATACTACACTCTGCCATTTCCAGAACGCAGGAAGGAAAGTAGAACTTTGGCAACCTCGTTGGAAAAAATTCAAGGAAAGTACAGTACCTTCTACGAGAGACTTGCAAAGTGAGAATTTCACTCAGTGGTTACAGAAAACAAATGTCTTAGGATGTATGTGTGCAAAATACAAGCCCCTGCCCATTGGGAGCATTCCATGGAAACCTGCATTCCAGTGGGTATTTCTGAACATCACGGATGCCCTGAAGGAACCTGATACAGACCACAGGAGAAGAGATTTGGCAGGCTTCAAAACAAGAAGGGGAGACTACAAAGTTGTTTAATAGTCATAAATCTCCTACTATTTTTCACAAAATACCATCTAAGACCACAGCTCCACAACTCATTCCCCATCACTCAGCTCGAGTGGAGCGCTTTGGCATGCTCACTCACCCTTAAATCATGCGCCGCATAAAGTGATCCCGGGCCTGGGAAATTTGTCAGCCTCTTTCAAGTAAAAGCAATCTTCACTTTTCATCACAATTCATTCCCTGAAACTGTGGTATAAAGCTGACTCTTCTAAAAACATTTATTTTCCCTCATAAGAAAAAGCATCACTCATGTTGTTATCAAGTATTTAATAACCACCTACTAATATGCCAAGCCTTGTGCTGGGAACACCACAAAAAGTAAAATAAGGACCTTGCTTGAATTCCCGACTCATAAAAAAATTATATCCATGATTAATACTGGTTAATAAGAGACACCAACTCATAACATTGCTCCCATGCTCTGCATTATCACAGAACTTTGTCCCTGACCTCTGTTATGGCACCTGGACTCACAAAACAGTAATTATATCCTTGCTTATTTCTAGTTCAAGTTAACCGAGAGCTTTCCAGATTACTTGTATTAACTTCCAAGATTGACTATACTATTCACCCTTGTACCCAATATGTTGCCAGAGAGAAGTCAATGCATGATGCTTGAATGAATAAAACATTTTAATGGCAAAGACAAAACCATATACCATGATCATAATTCAACACAAAAAGTGTGAGTCAAGTTGCCAGAATCAGAGGCAAAGACTTGCCAGCCTGAAAGTAGAGCCTTTCAACCTGCTCACAGGTCAAGGCACTGTGCCTTTCAGTGTGCAGCAAGACAGAAAGACTCCCACAGATGCACTGGGAGATTGTTTTTATCTGATCTAAAGGGGGTCTGGTTCTGCCAGGGCCTAAAATGTCA